GGAGAGCAGATTTTAAGACTGCCCATCTCTATCCTTGAATAGAAAAATCAACAGTTTGTGTAATGTTGTGTGTTCTTATCTGCATAATACATTTCATGTGCCACCATTACATTTTCATATCTGGAAGTAAAAAAAAAAAATCTAAGTGGATAAATAAAAGTATAGGAAATACATGAGCCCAAATGAAGAGTGACTTGCAGGTACTTGTAATCCATTTCCATTTAAGGATGTATGCATAGAAGCGTAAGCGCTAACCAAATAAATGTGTGCGCTTCTGCTTTTATATTAATTGTCATGCTTTCCATAGTAATAGAAATGTTTTCATTTGGTTTGTAGGGCTTTTGTTATTTTAGCCATTCTGAGCATTAGCGGATAAACAAAGCAGCAAACAATAATAATGAGAAATTATTGGAAGGCCCTTTCAGGCAACTATGACATGGCTGTAGTTCTCTGAGGCATAGGGTCTTTTCATAAAACTGCACTAGTACCATCTTATTTGACCTTCAGCATGGAATTCTAACTTCCTTTGTAACACACTTATTGGTCACCTTGGTAACCGATTCAAGATCACAGTCATTTCAGTTTTTCTGTATTTAAGTCATTCCCCATATGTTTTACAAAAATGTAACAAAAAGCCTGGAAAAATAATTTTGTTGTAAAGAAAAAAAATAATGAAAATAAATATTTTTTAAACAAGCCTAAAGAAAGAAAAGCAAATAAGTGTGCAATAATTACGCTTAGAAATGAGCTTATAAATACCGTAGATAGAAGGATCTGGGGTAAAAGAGAAAATGTGCATTTCATATAAGCTGGCCTCACACATTACAACCATTATCATACAATCTCTGTAGAATTTTCTTTACTCAAACTATGTGAGGACCTACTTAAAGCTGTATTCCAACATCTCTGCAGACCCCTTTACTACACAGATGTTGCAAGGAGATTGTACAATTCAGATTGTGACATGTCCTTAGATCTGCAGAGAGAACACCCATCCAATTATGTAGCACTCTGACCTCACCTCGAAATAAAAAAAAAAAAGATTTTTGTATGTATACTCACAAGGGTCAAGCAGAATATGTCTCTCACATGCTTTTCGTTTTTGGTTTTAATTCAGTTTTTATTGTTGTTACCCGTTGCAGAGATTTTCCGTTAAATTCGTTGTAAAGTCACAGCATATACTATCCTGTTATAACATCAGCACTGTAATAGGAATACATACTAGAGTTGTTTTTAACAGTGCAATCAAAGCTTACTTGAAAAAAAATCCCTTTTATATAGTGTGAACTGCCTTCTGTCTGCCCATCACTTTCCACAACTTCCTGGATTCCCAGTGTGCTTTGCATGTCTTTCCCTGCTGCTTGATGTGATGCAGTCTGGATTTCTCAAGACTACATATCTTATTATGCTTTGTTTCCAGAAAGCAATGATGTTGCCATGTGGCCATTTTCTGTGTTCACTGTAAGGGAGGAATAAAGAATTAAAGTGATATGAAAGTCAAAATGTTTTTAAGCTATTTCATATGATGATAAAATCACTTTCAATAGATGCAGCTCCTTGATGTTTAAAAGTTTTAGTTTTCTGCATAATCAGCTGGTCCCCTGAGCTCTGGCCCTGATGCCCTGGTTTGGGGTGGCTCATTTCCCTTGCGGGGTCCTATTATGGAGCCACCCTTGTGTGTTATAGTAAGCTGTGTGTCTTAACAGCAAAGCAAGACAGTGTCCCTGCTCTCCTTCCTTCCTCCATCCTTCCTTCTCCAAGCTAGTAGATGGATAGCTGCTGGAGGGAAGCTTCAGGGAAGCCAAGATGAGAGAGTTGGAGCCAGCTGTAAAAAAAAAAACCATGATGATTAAGTGTTTGGGCAAATATTTGAAGACATACTTTGCTGGGCAATGTATATTTGTTTGATCGGGATTAATTATTGAAAAAAAAAGTTTGAGTTGTAGTTCAGACAGCAGGTTTTGTGAGAGTGGTGACACACAGAGGTGCTTATTCATAGGGCTGATTGAAAATGTGTCACTGCAATAAGGATGTTTACAAACTTCTAGATTAATGTGTGAGATCGAATGGGATAGAACTTATGGACATTCAGGATAGAAATACGTATTTCCATCCCAGTGGCCACACTAAAAGCAAAGCAGATCTTCCTAGTAGGGACACAGGTGCCAAAAAGTCTGAAAAGAGTTCTGACCCTTCCCTGTTCTAACCAGCATTAGAACCTGATAGATACAAATGTAACTGTAAAAACAAAAAGAAGTGGAGAAAATGAGAGGGGGAGTGTAGTGCAACAGTGCGCCTAGCCCGACCCATTACATGGTTTACTTTTTTTGTTAGAACTTTATTGAAATTTGACATGTTTTTAAGTTCACAGTACGGTGTGATGCAGTTGTACCGCATTGCACCACACTGCACTGAAAAAAGTACTCTTTTTCAGCAAATACCACTGCAATGTGCCACTTTAAAACAGGGACAGTTGCCTTGTCTGTGCCTTGGAGCTGTGATGTCATCTGAATGGGCCCCTAAAAATTGAAATATATACTGTCCAGGAAAAAAAAGGACTAAGAAACTGCTAACAAAGAAGCTGTAACATCAGAGATAGCTGCAAGCCAATGTGATTCCAAAACCATTGGTGGGAGATAAATGTTTAGTTACAATGTGATTCTTTTACATTCTCTGAAAAAATACTGTAAAATTGTTATTGGCCTTGAAAGTAAATGATATTGTGGCTATCTCTGGATCCTTATTAATCCTGAACCCTGCAATATATTTTCAGTTAGACGGTGGCTTTAATGTGTCTTAATAAGGAAAACACCCTCCCAGCACCTCTTGCCCTACACCTGCCTTACTATTCATTTTGTGACCAGTGCAAATGTAGTTTGCTAAATGATTATCAGCGTTTTGTCTTGGTAAAGTTTTCAAGAAGACTCATTTGAATCCATTAGGATCACAGTCTATGAAAGAAATGCAGACATAGTGCTTTACACAGGAGGAATGAGAATGTGCCACTAAGCTGTTTTACATGATTGACTCTGATTGCCTACCAGGTAGACGTCTTATATAATTTCCATGAAAATTGCAAATCAATTAAAGCAGCCCCAAGGCCTACGCAGCTGTTTTATTGCAAAAGGAAGGAAAATATCCCCCATGCATTAGCGCTATTGTTTCTTCTATGTTGCTTTCTGTAGTACAACTATGATTGGACCAAAAATGTTTTTTAAATATACTTTTTTTATATACGTTTCACAAGGCTACTATTGCAAATTGAATTATTATTACATCACATATTTATTTATGTTTTTATTTTATCCTTGCTACAATTTTAGACATTAAAAAGTTCAGGGGTTAATTATAAAGGCTACCTGTAACCTTTTGAGAAGATGGTACTCAACCTCATATAAGTTTGATCTTCGGACCAAAAGTGTATTTGCCACTTATAATGTGTGTTGTCTATCCTAACTCTGTCTTTCTATAAATAAAGAATTATATATAAAAAAAAAAGTTCAGGGGAATTTAGAGGAAAAATGTGAAGCTGTATAAAGTTGTATAGGTTTACCAAAACCTGGGTTTTCATTAATTCACAGCAGCAGACACTGGCTACAAATGTAGGAAATAGTGTACTGTTGTTATTCTCCGAAGGAGTTGCCATTCTGCAAAGGTCATGGCAAAAGGGCAGCATGCAATGCTAAAGGAGGTGAAAAACAACCTTGGAGTAACAGCAAAGAACATGCTGATATTTCTTGAATTTTCTAATAACTCCCAACTTACTGAGATGAAGAAGGACACCTTTTAGTAGAATGGAATTAAGTAGAAGACACAGCCCTGCCACACTCTGTTATACTGACCACAAAGTAAATGAATACACAAACATAATAGATTATACCAGGGCTCAAAATTTCAAGTCCTGAGCTACTAGCCAGGCCTTAAGAGTTACTCGCCACCAGTTGCCCCACCTAACCCCAACCCTGCCGCGGCCTTAAACCCATAAATGCTTTTTTCACAACTTCCTTTCTGTTATACAGGGTTTGTAAAATAACATGTGCAGAAATGTAGATGTATGAATGTTTCATGTATTACAACACCTTTTGGTAGTTAAATAGTGCATTTTTAATAGAGAGCTATACATCAGACCAAACAGAGGGACAACTGTGTAGGAAAGAGGGACAGACGGATTTGGTTCAAGAGTAAGGACAATCCTCCCGAAAGAGCAATGCTTGTAAAAATTTATATCGATGTGTTTGGTGTAAAAATACATTAAACAAGACCTGTGTTTATCTCTCATGGAGAAACTGTGCATGAAAATAAAAAAAAATCGCTGCACATTCTCACTAAAACCTCATCTAAACTGTAAAGTATATTGTATGAAGAAACATGGTTTGGAGCTGCTTTACCGCTAGTTGCCTAATGCGAGGGTTGGCATGATTTTTCATACCAGGATTTTGAATGTATAAACATTGCGAGGGATTTATCAAAACTGGAACAGGGAGAATCTGGAGCAGTTGCCAATAGCAACCAATCAGCATCTCTTTTCAGAGTGCTCGGGTAAGATTTGAAAATGAGAGAGAGAAGCTGATTGGTTGCAGTGCAAATCTGCTCCAGTTTTGATAAATTCCCCCCTTTGTATTCAGGAATGACGGGGAATGATATAATTATGTTTGTGTTAATAGTTTAAGCAGGTCGTGTTTGTCTGTTATTATGATTTTTAGAGATTAGACTATTAATTTTAGCCATTCATGCAAAATCCAGGCTATTCTTATGGGTTCATAAACGTTTTCTTGAAACAGTACAATATTAGCACCATTAAGTGGATCGTAATACAACAATGTGTAATATTTATTACTTCGTTTTGGTAATGTAGAAATACATTATTGAATAAAAGTTGTCTAACTAGAATAAATGTAACTTTAATTTGCTGCAGGAACATGTGAGCTCAGTCTTTCTTGATGCCATGCTTTGTTTTTGTTTTTCAGTTTATCCTAATAATTTTTGTTCATCTGTTTCAGCTCGGAAGTCTAAAAAGCTAGGAAAGTTAAAAGGAGTCCATGAAGAACACCAGCAGCCACCTACTCTTCAGCAACCACCTGCACAAACTCCAAAGGAGGAACCCACATTCACATCCTTACCAAAAGACACCTCTGTTAACACAAATACAACTATCGTTCCAATCATATCTGCTGGATCCCCTGGACTTACGCTGTCAGCAACTGTGATACTTGAAAATATAGAACCAGAAATTGTATATGCGGGATATGACAGTTCTCAGCCAGACACAGCAGAACACCTTCTATCCAGCCTCAACCGGTTAGCTGGGAAACAGATGATCCAAGTGGTCAAATGGGCAAAAGTGATTCCAGGTATGTAATGAAGTTTGTAGGATTGTGGAAGAACATACAGTATTTTATTTTTTACTTTGAACTTGTATTTTGCAATACCCCGGATTTATAACTGCAGTCAAAACATTTAAGCTGCTTTCAGACGGGTGCCTTCAGTTATGATCAGCAGGGCATCCATGCACATATCCCCTGCTGATCGGAACAAATGTCATCATTGTGAAATCCGTATCCATCCAGTTTTTTCCTTCACCTTGCAATGGAGCAAAGAACTGAATTTACCAGACCCCTGTTAGTCTATGGAGAATCGGATGTAAACGGACTTGTGTCCATTTACATCAGATTCACTCCCATCCGGCGCTTTCAGGTCCGTCAAAACAGAACTCTGATCTGCATGTTGTTCCGGACCTGGCCAGAGCCGGGGGTATATGGATGTAGACAGATGCACGTCCGTTTAGATCTGGTTGCCCATAGACTAACATCGTGCTTCCTATCAGGTACGTCTAAAAAACTAACAGACGGATCTGATCGACATGCCTGTGTGAAAGGGGCCTTATAATTCCTTTAACTGTTACATGTAGACAGTTCATACTTAGGAAATGTTAATAGTGTTGTATAGCAAATTAAAAAAAGTAAAAATCTGTTTTCTTTTAGGTACATTTTAAGTTCATGTTGCTATGATTGACTCTGAAAAATACTGCTTACTAAACAATGACAGTGGCATTCAGTGTCGATTGTATGAGATTTTAGTTCTTTTAGCAGAAACAATGAAGACTCAAGATCCAGCACTCCTGGATGTTTCCATTTACTGGCTGATTTTTGGGGCTTAGCTCTTTGCTTAGTACTCTCAAATTGCTGTAGCAGACAGCACCTCTGTCAGAACACATAGTACGGTTATTAACTGTGTTTATTATCAGGGTAGAAGGTGGTGATATGGTCTCCTTAATTGATAGTACAGCCATGTGGCCTGATTTAGTTATAAAATATTTCTGTAGTCTTCTTGAAATTACTGCAGGCTTTCTTGGACATACTATTTCAATGTGGTGAAATGGGCACATTTATTCTGTAAAAAAAAAAGATGTGCCAACTAATTACACAATCCAAAATGAAGGATCTTTTAAGTAGATTTGTGCTATAGATGTGGTTCCCTTTCAGACACCAGTCCCATTGTTTGGTATGCAGTATGTATCATTGGTAATGGAAAGGTACCTGGCTAGTAATGTGCAGTAGAAGTCTGTGTTGCCCATTCACAACATAATGATAAGATAATGGATGTTCTAATCTGTTTAGGTCAAAACCGTACGACAACTGTGTACCTTTCATTCAGGAGGTGGACAAATAAGTTCTATTTCATCAATTGTGGTTAAACTATTTATTGGTCATTGCAATGTTTCCTAAAATCTATGTGTGCTTCAGAGCAGAAATGCAGATTATAAAACAAATGAGTAGATGTACATCCATTCATATTCTTTAAAAGAAATCCTGAAACTACAATGATTTATTGCCCAAAGTGCAGAAACAGCAGATGATTTGACCTGTTTTCTGTATGCACTGCAGAGAGGTACTTGTACAGTAAATACCATATGAAATGATCTTTTATCTAACATTTGTTTTTGATGCTCAGTGTTAAAGGGTTATTTATTATCCCTTTATTAAAGTGAAAAACACTGTTGTTCCTTTCCTTGGTGAGACCCTAGCAGTGAAGAGTTGAATTAAATTGCTGGAGTCATCTCCATTGTACTCTTATTAGCGGCAGTAGAATTGGGAAAATGTTACATAAACATTCATTTGTTTCTCCCTGCACAACATGATCCTTTGCAGCATCGCTGTAAAGCATTGCTGGGAATTGTGAAATCAACTTTCTTCTTCCGGGCATGTGGTGTTTTAAGCTACGTTAATAAAATGTTTTGCCCCACAAGGCACTTTCAGGCATTTCAAAAAAATCTTATCCTTGGTTTTAGAATCCACACTTTATATTACTCTCTGTAATTTACTTTTAGCTATTGCAGTGTTTAATTACTCTTACCATTGTTGTATTAATATGTCTGTTTGCTGCAGATGACAGTTTAAAGTAACTTCCCTCAGTTACTTGGTCTATGCATATTTTAATGCATGATCTGATACTGGTATTAGACACCTTGATGCACTCTCTTAGTCCGCATTCACCCATTGGTGCATCGGGGGCGCGCATCAAACACTCACAGAAGTGCGCACTTTGATGCACATTCATGAAACTTGCAGCACACTTTATAGTTTTTAGCATTATAGTGGCACTCCAGCAAAGTGCCACTAGCAAACATGCTTTTTTCCCACGCGTTTGTGCACGATAGAACACACATGAATGTGTAGGGAAGAATACAGAACGCATGTTGCTAAATATTCTATATGTATGACTTTTCCTTTGTTGAGGGCACGTTCAGCACACATTGAATTCAATGGTGATGCATCCCAAATGCAAAAAACAAACATGCAGAAATGCACGTCACTGTGACATGTGTTCCTGCAATGCCAATGTGCGAATGGGGACTTGTGTAATGATGGACTAGCAGACTCTTCTCAACTGATTAGTCTGCTGTGATCTGAGCTTCACACATGTACATTAAGGTTAATTTACTAAGAGAATAGAGAGTATTCACTTTGTAAAATGACTGTTGCTTTTATTGTGCTAACTTCAATCATCTAATCTTTTGAATGAAAAAATTATTTTTTGTATTGTATTTTTTCTTACAATATTCACTTGGTTAGTAACATTCACTTTGCAAAGTGAACATTTTCTTCTGATTTATTAAATCAACCCTATATGGTCAAATAGTCATCAAAAAGTAGAGGAAATGTCCAAATTAAACGATAATTTTTCTGTTTATACATAGCTTTCGTGTTCCACGACACAACTTTGTATTTTCCTATATCCTTTATTAATATTCATTTGTTTTAGGATTTAGAAACCTGCCTCTTGAGGACCAAATTACTTTAATCCAGTACTCCTGGATGTGCCTGTCATCATTTGCCTTGAGCTGGAGATCCTATAAACATGCAAACAGCCAATACTTGTATTTTGCACCAGACCTGGTATTTAATGAGTAAGTATTCATTAGTGATTGTTCTCAAAATATTATTTACTGACAGACTGAAATTTAATTTCAAATCACATGACTTGCAGAGATGTGGCAGACGTATAGCGTTTACTCAGTGTATGCTACATAATCATTGTCTATATCTTCGTCCAGGGTGTAAAAACACATAACACATTTATGATGGGGTACAATATGTTATGAGATATCCAGGCATAGTCTTGACAATTAACAATTTATTAAGTTTTATGTGCTAACAAAATTAAGATTAAGGTTTACAGATCTGTAACTCCCTTTAATTATGGGACATTTTTATTTGTGTTTGTAATATATTTTGGAATAAAATTCCAAATTTTAGAGCTTACATACTCTAAAATAGATATGTTGCATACTAAATATGTGAATATGTCTACTACATCCGCTGTACTTTTATTGATGTGTACACATGTTTATTTTTGTGCCTGCTACACTTCTGCCTGGTGATTGTGATTTTCTCCAGTGTGGAAGATCTTATTCATACTTTTCAGGGTATTCTGCATAAGAAGTCCAGGAATAAAAAATCTTAAATCATTCATTTTGAAAGATTTACATAACACTACTACTTCCAGCTCTTATTTTATAAGTGCTTTGTTTCATCACTGCTTTTTAAAGCACCTTGCCTTCCTAAAATCCTCATACTTGAAAAGGTGCCCTTAAAGAACATTATTTTCCATTAAGCTAATATAGTCAAGTAAATTTTTCTCTTTTCTGTATGAAGTAATCTCGCTGCGCTGAAATATTCCTTCAGTGCAGATTTTTATTTTTCCATTTATGTGAGCAGCAAAGACATTTTATTGCTTATTCACTATTTTCATTTCTCCTTCCCTTGAGTGGGATGCTCTTTAGTACAAATATTTAACATGTAAAAAAAGAGAGAGGGGAAATGTCTCTAGTGATTGAAATTGGTTTTCCCATGAGTTAACTTGTATGTATTAAATCCCATTCATTTACTGAAAATGTGAAAAGCCTGTTGCTGTAGGCTGCTCAGAATGACAGTGCATTGAGGCTTTATTTTAAATATTATTATCATCATCATTGTTATTTTTAAAATTATTTTTTGCTATGTGGCCTTTGTGGCAACTCCCAAACACTCCCAAACTCTAACTAGTCCGTAGGGCAAATTAAAATCTGAACGCCAGGCAAACATCTGAATACACAGATAAAATTCATGTACGGGAGCTGTTTTATCTACCAAAGCATTATATTCCTGATATTTACACAACCCTGCCAAACAACACAGCCACCCTTAAGACCTAACTTTTCTCTACTGCAGTTCAGAATTACAACTACTTCTTGCCCCTCCCCTAGGGCAGTTAATGAGAAGTAGCAAAGAGATGAGCTCACATGTCTCTTACTTTATTCTCTCCTCCTATCAGCATGTTCCTTGTTAGCATATGAACACTGCAGCACAACCGATTGGCTCCCAGTGCAGCTTCACCCTCTACCAGTCCAAGTGGTCCTCTACATGGGATTTTTAAGGAACCAGGTTAAATTCATGTACTTATACTAGTTGCATTTAAAAATACACTTATTGATAATAAACACATACCTGCAGAAATTGGTGTTTTTTTTATATTCCTGGAATTCAGCTTTAAAGCTGACATCTAAGGTAAACAGATAAATACACAAATAAAACACATATATGGGTGCTATTCAATCAATCAAAGATTTAGTAATTTTGGCCTGTTGGTCCTGATCTTTACTACTCTATCAGGCACTTTGGCTCGGTTCATGCATAATAAGAAAATATTGCTATTGCTAGGAAAAAACAGTCAGCATCCATCTGCCACTGCTCCACAGTGCCTAACCATTGCCTGGCTAAAAGTGTAATCAGTATACTGAATAATGGACCATAAGAGTCATTTGCAGTGATCAGAGCATTTAATAAAGTTAATAGCACAGATTTAACCAGTATCAGAAAGTGCCTTAAAGGAGAACTATGAGATGAGTGATTTCCACTCACCTCATAGTTCTAGCCGACCTGTGACAATGAGACTGTCACAGGTCGGCTCAGTAGATCGGGAGGTGAGCGAACACATATCGGCGTTCGGTCACCTCTCGATCCTGTCACGGCTCTCTGCCGTGACAGGGGGAGGGGCTGGATTCCCCTCTCCCCGCTCCGATCTGCCAGCGCTGACTGGCGGAACGGACGGGGGAGGGGGCGGGTACAGCTGGCTCTGCCTCTAGATAGTCAGAGCCAGCTGTCACTCACACAGCTGGGCGGATCCCGTCATCTACGTCGGGATCCGCTCCGGCTGCAGCGTCTCAGTATACCGCGAGCTGTAGCTCTCGGTATACTGAGCTTAGGGTAACGGGAGGACGCTAGTTTGTGTCCTCCCGTTACCCTAAGGAGAACTATGGGGAAAAACACTGACCCCATAGTTTTCCTTTAAGGCAATGCCTCAATGTAAATGCTGTGATAACGTAAAAAAGGATGGCCATTTTGGATTTTTTTACAATGGGATAAGTTTTGCCTCTTCTTAGTAAACAGAGGGAAAAAAGTACTGTACTTCATAGGTGCCATGTGGTCAGCATGATCGGGGCATCACGTTGTTCATTGTTCTCAAGGAGACATCTGTCTGTCTGTCTATAACCACCGTACTACAGATATTTCAGTAATTTAAGTGAAGATGTCGTAGCCTTAAATGAGTCTAAGCTATAACAATACTACTCAAGTGGAAACAACTTGCAGTTCCTCTTGATTGATTGAGATCTGTAGGTTATGGCATTTTTTATTTAACCCCTTGTTTCTTGCACTGTTAATGAAAAAAAGTCTGAATTAGGTCTGCAACAACTAATCGATTTAATCGATGATAATTGATAATGAGAATCGTTAACAATTCTCATTATTGATTAGTTTATTCCGAATAGTTGAAAACACAGAGCACTGCAGCTGGTGTCCAGCAGGGGGTAGAGAGCGCTGTGCCTCTGCATTCCCACTATGCTGTGCCCCATTCCTCCTTTGCTGCCCCCTATTCTCCTCTGCTGCTTCCATGCCTCTAATGCTGCCCCCCCAATCCCCCTCTGCTGCCCCTGTTCCTCCCCTCTTCTGCCAGCAGTAGAAAGCTGGCATCAAGTCTCCCATCCAGCAGCTGGGAGCAATAGCAAGCCTACTATCGGCTATTTTAAATTCCAATAGCAGGCTGGCTATTGCACCCGCCCACTGCCTGCTGTCAATCAGGAGAGGAGGACCTGTAGGAGAACTTTCTCCTTTAGTTCCCTCCTCTGCTGATTAATAGTAGGCAGTGGGTGGGTGCAATAGCCAGCCTGCTATTGCAGTTCAGCCAAATAGCCATTATCTAAAAGTATAATCAGTATACTGATCAGTATTTCAGTCACCTGCTCTCCTTTCCAGACACTGCTGCTCACACAGGAAGGGTTTCAGGAACAAAGGCAGTGCTGTGAATCAGCAGTGACAATGGTAATAGCCACACCCATGCAACATTTATTCAACCACTGTAGTGCGAGCAGGAGCAGTGCAACATCATTGCCACACCATTTTCAGAGGGTGCATTAGGTGGATGTCCCTGGCAGGCTCAACAGGTATTTGTGGGACTTGGAGAAAAGTTAGACTTAGAGAAAAGTGCAGATATTCTCTTAATAGGAGGCCATAGTTCTACTTTAGGTTGAATGAGGCTCCAGATATTCTATTATTAATGCCCTTGGGATAAAATGTAAGTTGCCTTTGTTAATATAATGTTAATTACATACAGTAAGTGTTATAATGTTTATGCAGAAATAAGTATGTGTGGCCCCTTAAAGATTAATTTTACTTAGTTTAGCCCACTGTTTCATTTGACTTCAATTTGCCAGCATTAGAAAACAGTAAGTTAATTTTAAGAATTCGCTACAAACAAAAGTATCATACTGAGGTTGGTTGTATTGCTTTCTAATGACCTGATCCATATTTAGTGCAGTTTAAATAATTATTTATGCACAAAAAGAATTTCTCATGACCATTATTTCTCCAGCATCCAAACAAAATGTAATGCAGTTTTTCATTTCCCATTGTGAACTGATTACAGTGTTTGTACTTTTCCCCTTTTTGTGTTATTTAGCATTGATGGGAAAATTAATCTTTTCTTCTTCTTACAGCATCACATTTTGCTCAGTTGGATTGTGACTAACAATAGCCAGTGCCTCTTACATTTACTTTAGATTGCACATGGCATTTTCACCACAGACATATGGATGCATAGAAAGGTTCTGACAACTGCGTGGTTGAATGTGGTTTGTGTCTTCCTAAAATAACTTCCTAATATTCAAAGCAATTGACTGTACTAGATTGAGTCATAGGGTCTATGGAGAATGAGCGGAAATAAAACATGGTGTAATCATTACAGAGATGAACTTGTATGAACCTTTTCTTTCCCTATGAGGCAAACAATTGTTTTAATTCAGTATATCTGTCCTCATAGTTGAGCAGTTCAATATATAAAAAAAACACTATCTGTGAATAAAATCCCATTTCTTTTTTATATATTTAGATAATATCTGACTAGTTATTGTTACGTTCTGGGGCACCCATGGTCTGCATTGGTGTTCTGGAGCCACAATATTTAAATATCTATAGACTGCAGGAAGCTGCTTCCTAGTTTCATATTGCCTTTACTTCCTTGTATTATAATTAGTTTTTTAAAGGTCTGCTTTAAAGTGACACTAAACTCAGCAGTTTTTAAAATTGCATTCAAGTACCTTAACCGTTAACAAAAATTTATCTTATTTGTGTATCACTCGGCTGTAGATCCTCAAATTATCTCTGAATTCATGCTGACACTGTCCTTTCTTCTAGAGCAGGGGTGTCAAACTCAATTTATTCGTGGGCAGCATCAACATTATGGTTGCCCTCAAAGGGTCTGTAAGACTATATAAATGTATCTAATCTTTATCATAATTGCCTCTGCATTCAATTATCACTGGTTTTAGTAATAACTTAATACCTAGATCTGAAAGTAAAAGTCTAGGAAATG